AGCTACTGGAATTATTTGTGTTCGAGTAAACAACTTGCAATTCGACATCAAGTGCAGTAAACCACGCTATACTCCTTGGAACGTGCAATTTTGCCAATCGTCGATTTATTTTTATGCCTCAAGTGTTTGTTTGTTTGATTGCCGCCCATGCGTCGCGAATAAATATGTCGACAAACACTAAATTCAACCAACCAAAACTTATTTCTTAAAAAAATCATTCATATAATTTATTATTTCATATAAAAACGTGTAGTCATTAATTAAATCATCATCATGACTTCAGTGACATATTTTTTCCTCAATAAATTTCTCGTTTTCATGTTGCAATTTCCTATAAATATATTTATTAATACCAACGCGCACCAAAAATAAATCTATTTTATTTGAAACCTAATTTGAAATTCAACACTGCTATAGCGGAAGCTAATTTACGTAAAATATCAAATATAAATCGATTTAGCGATTCGAGCATGCATTTTCGGTCAATGAAAATCGATACCAGAACGATAAACAGGCTCAAACTCAAATTACACTTAAGTCGATTTAAACTAGCTTAACTTTAAGCGTCCTAGTCACAACCAACACACATATTCCTATATTATTAAACTACGAATTTAATAAAATCTTGCATATTTTTCACAAGAAATTCTAAACGTATTCACATAATATTTTATGGCCATTAACACCTGGTCCGCGCAGTTTATTTGTGATGACGATCGGAGTTCATTATTAAATCGAAGCATGCATATCCACCATCCGAATAACCAGGAGCGTGAAACGTGTGGCATGAGGCGTGAAGTGTTGTTCAAAGCGTTAAGGTGTGGACGTGCATATGAATATCTCCAATTCATGCATAATAGGCAACTAAATATTCGAGAACGAAAAAATGCCCAACCAAAGATAACCTCAAAACGAAAATCAATATAAACCGTTTAAATTATAACGCCATTAATGTTCAATGAGACGTTACGCATAAAGAGCGATCGCTTAAGATATGTGCGCATGCGCACAAGTTAAAAATAAAAATAAAACCGGCAATGTCATTAACTAACGTGAATTATGTAACTATAACAATAACAATGACTTTGTTTAGTTCAAACAAAAGTTCAATGCGTGTGGCATTGAAACATCGAAAGGGAAATAACCTTTTAAAAAATAATATACAGAGTGTTTCAAAAAGAAATTTAAAAATCACATTTTTTCTGATATTGTCTAAATTATCGCAAAATATTAAAATTTTGGTTAAAAACTACGTTTATAAATAATATACAGGGTGTTCCCAACTTATTAAATTTTTTTTTCGAATTTTTGATTTATTTATAGCTAAATATTTAATTTTTCAGTAAAAACAATTTTTAAAAAATCTACAGGGTGTTAAAAATATTTAAAACTAAAAAAATTCTGATTTTGATTTAATTATAACTGTTTATTTAAATTTTTCTAGTCAGTCATCTAATTTTAATGAATTCGATTAATACTGTGCCTACCTATATGTTATATTCGTCGTCCTAATCTATTTATGTTACATACTCATCTCGTAGTCATCCATATTCCGCTCCCGACACTTGTAGCTGCTTGTAGTTACGAGCTCCGAAGCAACTCCGGCCTGAATACAACTTAAGACACAGCTTAAGTTACTTTACATGCTGTTATATGCGCGCAGGAAAGTTATGCCAGGCACATCACCTGCGCTTGAAATTAAAAAGTGAATAATTACAAAGCGCTGCGCGTTAAACGTCTTCATCCTAATCTCTTATCATTATCGACTTGATGATCATCAATCAGTGCGTAAACACGCCGGAATGAATTCGAACAATAGTGAAGAATAATTAATTCAAGTATTAAAATAATTTTGAATATTTTCGAGAGGCGCTGGAGATGAAAATATGAATAGAATCTCTTTGGATACAAAGTTTAAACTGTTACAAATAACGTTTGGGAATTGGAGGAGCGCTGAGATGGTTGAGATGTTCATATAGACGAGATGCGCTGTCTTGCGAGTGTAAACATTCACATTAACTGAAGTGCTCTCGACTGTCAGTCTCCGCACGCATCTATTTTATGATCCATGTTTCTTTCGAACACGTCACAAGCAGCATCGAAATGTATACCTTTTGTAAACAAGCAAAATTAATATTTCATGTTGAAAATTTTATTTTTAGAAGGCGTATGATATTTTAATTATGTTTAATTAATAAATATTTAGATTAGAAAATTTATTTCTTCATAAAATTATGTCAATTTTGTTTTTTTGTATTAATATAATTAAAACATGAAGAAATTTTTTTGAAATTTTTGAAATCTCCACCCCGTGACTAAAGTCAGTGACTAAAGTACTTTAGTCACGTCCATGGCCGTCCGTGTTTAAAGTACCACTTTATGTGTCTAAACCTTTGTTAAACAACATAAATATTAATATTTTACCTCAAAAATGTATTTTAATAACTCGTATAATAATAATAAAAGACATAAATTTCCATCAGTTGGACTTTTGAAACATAAAACAATTTGGGGGCGCCTACATTTTTCCTCTCTTTAATTCAAGAGCAAGTCCACGTTGAATAAAATCATGACTAGACTAACACGTCATAAATTACTTCTGGTGTTATTTATGCCCATATTCAATTAGCGAATGACAGTCGGAATAAATTTTCACACGTTTATAAATTTATGTCTCTCCGAGGAAGAATTTCATCAGCGTGAAAAAAATGAAAGGCTGCGTTTGTGATGAATTTGATTGAATGATACAATGATTAACAATTTTTTTCACGTCATCCTGCTTTTATTATTATGTTGTAACGCGCTGCCTTTCGATTCGTTTAATGGCAATTTATCGATAACAATTGGATATTAGTCAAAATGTTGCTGCAAGATTGCTCTGGCAATTGTAGTGTCAATATTCTTAAGGAGATTGTGAAAAATGTGATGAATTGAATGGTAATGAGCGACCGAATAGGAAACAGCCAGGGTTAAAGATCAACGAAAAGATTCAAGGAAAAAATGTGCTCAAGAATCATTAATAGTATATTAAGTATCAAGTGGCTAATGGGGAGTTTTTGACTATGACATTTCATATGCTCCTGCAAGCTCCCGTGACTTAAGCCCGTGACTAAAGTACTTTAGTCATATCCTTGGCCGCCTACGATCAAAATACCACTTTTTGTGTCTCAAAACCGTGGAAAATTTTGTTTTTAATTTTAAACATCCTGTATGGCAGTAAATTTAATTTTATAAGACTTTGGAAGATTCTATAATCTCCGGAGATGAATAAGTTTGATAATAACCGAGTTACCATTTAAGGAACTTATTGTTCCTTTAACTTCCTGTAAGTAGCAAGAACATAACTTCTTCCTAATTGACCATAACCTCAAACTTTAGTCTTCTTAGCCAACATTAACTAACAGTTTACAAATTATTTCATAGTTGCAAAGCGACCAATGTTCCTCCGGCGTCTTTCATCTCTATTACTTATGATTACAAAGTCAAGCATTGTTAGCAACAATTCCTTGGATTTAAATTTTAAGGAGTGCAGTGTTGCCACCGATAGATCAATGTTGCAGTTGTTTGAGTGTTCAATGCAACGCGATTAATCATTTGATTTCATTTATTTCAATGAAGCGCGCGCTACGCGGAACGCAGGCAGGGATCAAGGCGATTAGGAATCCCACACAAACCGTGGCGTGGTGTGTGGATTCATGAGAGAGGCGCGTTATGTAATTGTAAATTGAATTAAAACATCAATGAAACGCAGTGGACAGTGGACAGTGCCACTGACGGACGGGGAAATTAATGATCGGCCAGCTTTGAAATCTGCCGCGAAAACATTACATTGAACTCGTTTATATTTAATAAAATTAAACTGGTAATAAAAATTATTCTGGAGCACAAATAATGAACTAAATAATTTATAGATTCATAGAATTCATTATTACGAAAATTTCTATAAAGCTAAAAAAATTTTTTGATTTTTAAAAAGTTTTCGAAAATCTTTGAAATTTTTCTTAGAAAATTTTTTTTTTGGTCATGACAATTGATTTAATCTATAAAATAAGAAAATATTCATTTTTGTCAGTTAAGTGGTTTTTAACTGTTGGTTTGAGCAAACAGTGAAGGAACAATAGGTATAGTACTATACCTAGTTCCTTCACTGTTTGCTCAAACTGAGTTGAACACTACTCTTATGGGAAATCAATGTAAATCGTAAAAACTCTAATTTTTTGATTTAAAAAAATTATTTCTTTATAAAATTATGTTAATTTTGATTTATAAATTTAAAAAAATTTAAAAAAAAATTAATTTTTAAAATTTTGAAAAAAATTTGAAAAACAAAATTTTAAGTTTAAAAAAACTCTTTTACTCCGTTTATCTCCAATTAACTTTTATAAAACTCAATGCACTCATTTTTCTGCATCATTTACTTCCTATTCGCATTCCATTGGAATGCTGGCGTGCGTTTGAAGATTAATTAACGTCAATTAACGAGTTAAGATGATTTGCGACGCTCCATCACGATTTTATCGCTTTTCATTAACCGATTAACTAACGCAAAGCAAATATATTAGCGAAACAGAATAAAACCAGCTGACAACTTCAATTCAACGCGCAACTAAATGGCAATTTATTCCGTAAACCCCAAAGTACTCTCTCTACGAGTACACTACTACACTGCACAAGACTAAAATTGTCACTGTCAGCATGTGGAAGTAATGAAGTGATGTTTAATTAAACCCATTCGAATCGATTTTAATTAAGGGACAAATGAAGCAGTCGAGAAAATCCCGCTCATTTGATCACGAGCAATGAAAGGAATGACAGCAATTAAAATCATGTTACAACACTTAATGAGCACAGCGAAAGGTGTTAATGCGAATTAAACCAGGAATTAATCCGTTTGACATGACACTCACAAAGAAACAACCGAAAAATCAATATTTTCCCACTCAGGAAGCGAAAAATGCAGTAAAAGACATCAAAGGTCATCGAAATGTCAACGATTCATATCATAACAACGTCTTTACTCTGCGTCTACGAAGACATCAAAAAATATATTCATTACATCAATAACAACGTGCAATTTATAGGTTAGGTTACAGTTTATCAGATGATTCATGCGCTGGCTGTACTGCAAGTTAAAACAATACGCAATTCGTGACTCTACCTTATCAGAACGCGAACTTGTTCTATGCAATCACGTAACCACGGCTATTAAATATTTCAATTTGCAAAAACTAATGCGGCGTGACCGTGAGATTGGCCAGCGCTTTCCTACGCGCCGCAACGGCTGCATTGCGCATGAGCGTCGCTCTGAACTGCATCAACATAACCAAGTATGTTACAGCTGCGGTTATAACCTAAAAAAATCATAACCTCAATTGTTTTATGTTTTTATGTCTTAAAACACACTTACTGATGATAATAACTTCCTATTAATATTTGTATAACCATTAAGGTTCATAATAGGTGGGTTTTTATCAATTGCGGTTAGAAACATGTTGACCTCTTGTCTTGTTCTATTATCAACCGCTGTAAGATTCACGTTAAGTAACCGTTCGCGAAATTCAGGACCCATTTTGCGACTTGCATGATACGCTTCATTACAGATGACGTACATCAAAGACATGCAATATAACGAGATCAAAATCAACCCGCCTTCTTTGAAAGAGATCCCATGATCTAGGATCTCAGTTAGACAACCATAAATAGCAACAATATTCGTCAGGAGAATCAAAATACAAAGAATTCCATACATTCCAGAATAAGCTTTACCAAGTTGTTGCATCATGTGACTTAAGTCAACCCAGAGATCTCTGTATTCTGCTAGACGCCCAGCAGGATCAGAACTCTCCAAAGCAGTATGAAGATTATGAGCTAGGTCCATAGCAACTTGTCCCATGGCTGTACAATTTACAAACCACAAAGATGTAAGACCATTCAACATCGCCAAGATGTGATAGTAACCAAAAGTGTGCCAGAGAAGCATATCAGGTTGTAAGTAAAATTGGGCCAGCATTACACCAATACCCAAAGCCCAGGAGAAGAAACAAAGTGACCAAGTTATACAAGACAAAGTTTCGAAGATAATTGGATCCCCTGTGACCCTGTAGTATTTAAACTGGAATCGTGTCCACATATTTTTGAATTTAGCCACTTCCCCACCATTGGTCCAAGCGGCAACTGGTAACATGAAGTGTGGGACCAGGATACTGAGGAAGATAATACTGTAGATGTATTCATCAAAACGTTTTCCAGGTTGTAGGATTAATAAGAGTCTTTCTTTGAAGACTATGCTGACGAAAGCAGTTTCTGCTGTGTATAGGGCATAGGCATAGATGGCGGTACCAGAAAACCATCGGAAAGTAGTCTTACCAATCCCACTCCGTTCAATGGGCATAACCCCATTAATTGAAACAACACCAGAAGACTTTTTGTAGTTTTGTAAAATTCATCGAATTGATCTAGTAACACAGGATCATCTGGTTCTTGATTCCGTTCGAAAAACGTGGTTGATCCACGGTCACTTAACCCTGCATCACTGTACCGTTTAGCTCGGTAGTTGTCTTGTTCGACACGCTGATGAGGATTACGCATTTTGGTTCTATAGGTGTCTTCTTCATCATCTTCAAAAGCGTTGTTTCTCATTTTTTAATTTTTGGAATTTACTCGTAATGGTTTCGACTGCGGTGTGTCCGATTCCCGACTGGGTGGAGTGTAATGCGAGCAGACGCACAGACGCACGACCCGCGGACGCAGAATGGAATAATTTATTTCTTGAGCCGTGGATCGCGTGACTGCACATAATCGACGCCGATTATAACGAGCTGCGGCTACAAAACAAATAGTTCTCGACTGAAACAATACCAGCCGACAACGGACAACCAAACACCCAGCAGGAGGAACAGTGAAGACGAACAATAAGAAAAGATCTTCACTAAAGAAAAAAAATTTAATTTTTTTGTTTTGGTGAAGATTTTTCAGGTTTAATTTTACGCCGTGAAAAGTCGAACAAAGCGAGTCTAATAAAGACGTTGATTATTTTTTAAATATGTAAATTGTGTTTGACCAACACCTCGATTACTCGATTATACCAGCTCATTAATTTAATATGCAAGTGGACTTGAAAAATTGTTAAGTGTTTATTTATTCGGTGTCACGCTGTTTGCATTGGGTAATATTTCATTGTACTTCTGACAAGTTTAATCGCTAGAATATTAAAACTTTCGTTGAATTAAGCAATATTTAATTAAAATTCTGTTTTTATTGTTTTCAGATTAATTTTGATAGCGTTCGTGTTGATCGCATCGCCGACGCATTCAGGGATCACGCCAAATAGATACAAAAAGTCTGATTACATCAAAGCGAAAGCCACCAACAGTAGTTACCCACTCAGTGTAAGTATCTACATAAATTCTCAACTTTTATAGGAAGAGTTTGAAAAGTTTCCAAGTCGCGTTTATCAATCACTTCCGTTTTAGTTTTAACTTTAAGTTTAAAGTTTCTTAAACTTTTTAAATTCAAATTATTACGATTTAAAAATGTCTAGACGTTATAATAGCGTCATATAATAGCATGTAACATGCAATTGCATCACGTGCCATTGAAGATCCAAAGCTTCTAAATAGTAATAATGAATGAAGAAGAATGAAAAGAAATGAAAGCACCAAATAGGGAGCCGCGCACCTCACAATTCAAAAGATAAAAGCCTAAAGACCGAAATAATCGAAATTTCAGTCGAGTTTCATTTCAAATCTCTGGGCTATTCATTGACGTCACGTCAATCACATCAAAATACATCACTAATCGTCATACGAATTAAAATTTAAAATATTGTTTATAGATTTCTACGTATTCAATCATAATATTTTATAATCTATATTATTAACTGCGGAAAATTACTGGTGATTATCGTGTATTATTTGTAATTATTGACCGGTTTATAATTATTTATATTGAGTTCTCATACGAAGAATTTTTGCAATTTAAAGCATCAAGGTGACAAAAACCGAAATTGATGATTAATCTACACATTTCATCGTAATAAAAAGTTTGTCGTTACTACTAACGTATTGTTTTTCTTGCAGGTTCAACGATTGTACAGGGAGAAACTGGTCGCGAAGCCGAAGACGTTCGGCGTGTGGTCCGCATGGAGCGCATGGACAGAATGTTCACGAACATGCGGCGGTGGCGTCACCCACCAGCAGCGCCATTGCATCTCGAAACCATCCTTAGCCCAGCAGAGAATTCAGCAAAATAAAGAGAAGTGAGTGAAATGTTATTTTGAAATTAGACCACCCAACTGATAGCGGCGCTCGCTGAATCGGAATGCTTTACTTTCCAGCGTATACGTAATTGTTGTTATTGCATTCCAGCACTCGTCATATTTAATAATTCGCTTCATATTTAAATGTTTCGAAGCGTTTGAAGTGCGTTTCGGATTTTATTTTCGGTGCTGACCTATTAACACCACGCTGAATCACGGCATCACGCCACAGAACAACCAAACATGAAATCTAACACCGAAAAAGTAATTGTATTAGAAATAATGAAGAGTATTATTATTACATCACACGTTCCATGAATATTTGTATAAATTATTTATAATTTTAATTTTAAAACATTTTTAAAAATGTTAAAAATTAATTTTTGATGTTTTTAGATGAAAAATCAACGATATCATTTGACTATAAGTTTCTAGCAATAGTTTTACTCTTGTAGAATTTACTCCGGCATATGTGCACTGTGAAAATCACTAATTTAACGCTCCGCAGTGCGTGTAACCGACCAAACCGCATCGCATCGCGCGCATTATTCGTTTAATTCTGCTATTCATTAAAATGCGCACCATACTTCAGTACATACGCATTTTGTTCGTAAAAGATTATTGTTACAGCATAGCACACACGTACTACTCGCACTTAAAACTATTTCAACTCAAAATATACAAAGTGTTCAAAATATATTTTTAATAAAAAAAAACATTATTACGACACTGTATATTCCAAAATATTTATTACCAGTCTTGATGGACTGTCAGTCATGATGTCGTTCGTCGACTGTGAAAAATTAGGTCGCGCTGCTCGCGTCGCGCGCATTTTTAAGGCACGTCGTTTGCGTCTCATCGCCGCACGTGTCTCTTCTTTCAGCTCCTCTCCACAACCATACACACAACACACAACCGCAACCTTAGGATTTAAATTTACTGCGAAACAAAACCTTCAATTCCACCGCAGGATCGCCATTAATAAGAAAATGGCATGCGTAGTGCAGATTTGAGGTTATGAATAAAATGCTGGTATTTATAGGTTATGTTTAGATAGCGAGGAGTATTTGGCATTGAAACACGCAAGTAAACTAGTAAAATTTGTACGTTTGTGACCTGAACCAACTGGAAAAGTTGTGTTAAGTATAGTTTACTTTAGAAAAGCGAAAAAAACAGTGTGAAATAGCTATGAATCAGCAGTGAGTAATGATGGAATAGTCCGGCTGCCGAACGTGAACAAATCTATACAAATAGTGTGCTTGTTTATAAAATGGCGCGCGTCGAATGAATGGAAATTCGTGCGTTCGTTTACACTTTATGATCATAATAATGTCATAACTGGGTCATTTAAATATGAAATTGACAAAAATTAATTTTTCAATTTTAGCTTTTATTTTGATATTAAAAGTGAAAAAAACCCTGGGTGGTCTTCAATAACATCAATAACATCGTATTATTGTATTGTTATATTTATATCATGTTGTAATGATGCGATGATGAAATTCTAGTTATAAACTAATTTTTTAAACCATTTATCAACGATTTCTTCGCTTACAGGGCGAAAAAACATTATTTTTCTCCGCATAACAAAAAAAAACAGTAAATCTCAATTCCGGTTAATTGATTGACGTTATCACTAATTAAAACACGTTCCTTAATTAATTAATGCGTCTCGAGTTAAACGAAACAAAAACAAAACAAAACAAAGACTTGGAAAAATACGAATTTCGACCGGAATTTTGTAAACACCGAAACGAAAGTGGAATGAAAGCAGTTTTTTGACCGTTCGGATGAGAATTGGAATTGGAATCAATTATATAATCGACGTGCGAGATAAGCGAAGAATTTCGAGGAGGCACGAGAGGAGGGAAGGCGAAAAGCGAGCGCGTAGATTTATCGCGCCATTGTAATGAGTTCATGTCGTTAAGATGATAAAACAAAAAGGTTTCGCTGCGGACGCGCAACAATCGATCGGAGAGTCGTATAAAAGAAATAAAACGCTCGCTATAGAGAGGAGAGTGCGGCGTGTATTATGAAAGCATTTCAATTAAGCGAATGACAACGGATAAAGTCTCAAAATGACGAAATCAAAAATTTTAAATTAAACAAGTGAATAAAGTATAGTATTCAACTTTTTCAAAGTACATTATGTGTTTAAATTATATATAACTTAATTTTAAGACTTTAAACACTAAATTTCGTTACACAGAAATAAAAAATCAAAAATTTAATTAAACGAGTGAATAAAGTACAGTATTCAACTTTTTCAAAGTGCAATATGTGCTTAAAGTGTGAGTAACTTAATTTCAAGAATTTAAATACTAGATTTCATTGCACAACATTAAAAATCAAAAATTTTAATTAAACGAGTGAATAAAGTTCAATATTCACTTTTTTCAAAGTGCATTGTGTGTTTGAATTATGTATAACTTAATTTCAAGAGTTTAAACACTAGATTTCATTACACAGCAATAAAAATCTTCTTTCAACTGTGCCGCAACGATGAAAAATTTTTGATGACACTTCCAACTTGCATTATAATGACAAACACAAATATTCCTCTGTTGTAATTTAGTCATTTTATAATTTCCTCAATTACACTCTTGTAATAACAGTGTTTTGATTGCTTTTGTTTTACGAGTTTCTGTCGTTGACGAATGCAGCGCGATTAATAAATATAATTTCAGTTATACTTATAGCCAAAGAGCACACTCGTGCTGTAATTTAAGTGCGCGAATTTCGGCCTTGGAGATACACATAAAACGAGACAAAGTGATACAACATTGGTTAATTTTAATACCCGAAACGATGACAGTTGAGTTATTCTCGTTAGCCACGAGTGCCGATTGAGCTAATCGCCAGCATTTTACGACTCTCTGGTAATAAAAGTCAGCCACGCGGCCTACTGAATGAGAAAATTATTATTTATGCATAAAATTGGTTAGGTTCAATACTTGTATACGTAATATATGCAACCAAATATACAAAATATTTAAATTCACGTTTGTGTTTGATTTTGAATGATTTTAAACGCGTTTGGATGCATTGGCATTGTTTGAATGGCAGGACGCAACCGGAAATGACGGAATCACACGCCCTCTTCGATTGATGTTGTTTTTCGCATCGATCAATCACACGCCGGAACGATGCACACAGTGTGTTTACATGAATGTTAATCACGCGCGCATTCCAGCACATTGTGCAATTACAGATTTAGATTTCGATTAAAATTTAAATTTCTATTTACGAGTACATAATCTTTTTATATCTTAGGCATGACTCTTCAATATAATATAACAAAACAGAAAATGTTTATTGTTTTTCGTGCAAAAGTAATAAATACCATGTTTTATTGTATATTGGGTTGCCTATAGAATAATATTACACTGAATATAACTTCACACGATTTTCATCAAATGTTTAACATATTTCTTGATTGAAATATTTATAGTGTTAAATATTACGATGAACTTTTCTCACGTAATAGAATTGATGTTCCGTAGGAATAAAAACCAAAATGGGACTAGAAATAATAGCTTGCTAGGGGAATACCGAGTCGCATACATCGCTGAGTAGAAACAATGCCGCTCTAAATCAATATCGATGGCGACACGTCGACATTTATCATATAATACGACTAGTGACTTTACGACCAAGGGGCACTACTACTGCAGGATAACAAAAGATTTCATTTACGTCCGTATTAAATTATATTAAATGCATAAAAAGTGATTCACTGGGGAAATATTTACAAAATGAAGTAATTTATTACTGACCGACTTGGTGAACTTGACTTAAGTCAGAAGAATGTGTAAATACTATGTTCTTCAAGCTGAAATTAAGTAATTTTGACTGTACAAGCGTGTTACTGGTTACTTGCAGGCAGACAAAGATTACATCTTTATATTTAACTCAAAGTTAGACGTTTATTATCTTCTAACGACTTTTTAAACGTTTCTCGCATGAGGCTTAAATATCTACTAATTAGAAGCTAACGCCACAACAAATATTTAATGAAATCTTGAAATATTATTTTCATGATCAATATAAATTGATATTCATTGTTTCAATGCCAATTAATAATTGATTAACGATGACAAATTGATACAAATACATATTGTACAAATTTATTTGTAGAGGCTACATCGTAAGCCTTGTTTGAAAAAAAAAAAAAATAAATGCAGTCAATAACGTAAAAATTTGAAAAATGTTTCTTTTTAGCACTTTTAGTCACATTTTTCGCCATTTTATACTACGATATTTAATTATTTTATATTCTGATCTAGAAGAGAATTTTCCAATCTATCATAATCAGCAATTCGATTGTTACTATCGCTTTTAGTTTAAGAGATAATAATTATCAAAAATCATCGAAAAAAAGTATCAAGCAATTTTTTTCTTAAGAATAAAAATTTCATCTCCCAGATTTCAGTTTTAATCCTATCTTATAGAGAATAGTCCGTAGATTAAGACGCTGCGATCGGATCTTAATTATCTCTTTTAGTTTACGAGATATTCACGTTTGAATAAAATGGGCAAAAATTGAAAAATGTTACTTTTAGCACATTTAGTTGCGTTTTCGACCTTTTACGGTTGGAAATAGAATTGTTTTATATCTGAATCTGATAGAGAATTTTCCAATCTATCATAATCAGCAATTCGTTGGTTACTACCGCTATTAGTTTAAGAGATATGAATTATCAAAAATCATCGAAAAAAAGTATCAAGCACCCCCCCTTGGCAATTTTTTCTTAAGAATAAAAATTTCATCTCTCAGATTTCCATTTTAACTATCCTATCTGATAGAGATTGGTCCGTAGATTAAGACGCTGCGATCAGATCTAATTTATCTCTTTTAGTTTACGAGATATTCGCAATTGAAAAAAATCGTCAAAATTTGCAAAATGTCACTTTTTAGCACTTTTAGTCGCGTTTTTCGACCTTTTACTGTAGTAAATATAGTTATTTTATATTTTTATCTGATAGAGAATTTTCCAATCTATCATAATCAGCAATTCGTTGGTTACTACCGCGTTTAGTTTAAGAGATATGAATTATCAAAAATCATCGAAAAAAAGTATCAAGCACCCCCCCTTGGCAATTTTTTCTTAAGAATAAAAATTTCATCTCTCAGATTTCCATTTTAACTATCCTATCTGATAGAGAATAGTCCGTAGATTAAGACGCTGCGATCAGATCTAATTTATCTCTTTTAGTTTACGAGATATTCGCAATTGAAAAAAATCGTCAAAATTTGCAAAATGTCACTTTTTAGCACTTTTAGTCGCGTTTTTCGACCTTTTACTGTAGTAAATATAGTTATTTTATATTTTTATCTGATAGAGAATTTTCCAATCTATCATAATCAGCAATTCGTTGGTTACTACCGCGTTTAGTTTAAGAGATATGAATTATCAAAAATCATCGAAAAAAAGTATCAAGCACCCCCCCTTGGCAATTTTTTCTTAAGAATAAAAATTTCATCTCTCAGATTTCCCGTTTTAACTATCCTATCTGATAGAGATTGGTCCGTAGATTAAGACGCTGCGATGCGATCTTAATTATCTCTTTTAGTTTACGAGATATTTGCACGCTTTTTAACCGAGCTAACACATCATAAAGAAACATCAAAAGTGATCAAACGCATTGCTTGATACTTAAAACAAGTTACCACGTTACTAGTTGCCAGTGACAAGACATTAAAGCCATTAAATACGTTTAAAGATGCAACCGATGCACACATTAAAGACTTTTCGAAACGCACTTTCAACGCGCTGCATCTGCAATCCATTCAGGCATTCATGCAGCGTTACAATGTCCATTACTCATTACGATCCGCGTATGCAACATGCTCGTTAATGATATCTTTCGAGCAAGTGAGAGAAAAGGAAGCAAATATTCTCGATTTATTGTTGATTGCGTGATTTATTGACGCGGATATCAATTAATACTTGAAACGCTGCTGTTTTCACTGAAAACAACTTTGAGCCTACTGAAAACGTAATCGTGCACTGTTATTTTCAGATTTTTCAAAAAACACAAACGAAGAAGGAGGCAACACGCACCGAATGAGATCACCAATCGATGTATTGGATTGTATAAACGAGTTAGACTCTGCAATATTCAAGTAAGTAAATTTTTCGTCGTTAAAATTAATAAAAACCATCAAATTTGTACAAATTTCACCGTTATACGGAATTTTTCATTGAAACGTAATTTTCGAGTGGCGCTTGTATCGCCCCAATGCAGTTTTAATATAATTATTGTTGTTCACTTGACCAAAGCGTAGCATCCATTAGTCCCGGTTAAATCAGTCAGTTCAAGCATGTGAGCTTGTGAGCTTTAGCGCATCCCAATCTCATCCACTTCCCATTCACATGTCTGGCACGCACGGCACCGGCATTGTCCCGCCGCTCGATTATTAATTGAAATCTTAATGGGTGGCATTTCGGGGGGTCGAGCGTTTAATTAATAACCGATACGTATTATTATCGGGCACGACAGCGCCCCAAAGGGTTCACCGCTTGACATATGAGCCTCTGGCCGGCTGACAACACCATTGTTAACATACAACACGCATAATGTCCATTGAAACAATTTTCAAATCCACTTAAATTATAGCTTTAAAAATTGGGCAATAAATCACCACTTTTACGAGCCAGCGATGGACACGCGAATTGATAAATCAATTTATATTTAAATTTAATTAATACTGTTTAGATTAATGCGAGTTATTATTTATAAATAAATGTGGTGTGAAATTTTGATTGCGAACTTATTCGAATGGCAATAAATCAGCGGATAAATGAAACGTGTGGATCTTGACGGTAGTTAATACTCGAAATCGATTTATTGCATGTTATTTTTGGTTCATGGCCGTTTGAATATATTTGCGTCATAAATATATTTTTTGTTTTCTTTTAGGACTGTGCGAATGGCTTGGATTTTCGTTTTGAACAATGCGCAGAGTTTAATTCAAGATTTTACAAAGGAAAACAGTATTATTGGGAGCCATATCTCAAAGGTAACTTTAAATATTAATAATAATTATATTACTAAAGACTAAAAGCAGTATTTTCATTAAAAACTAATTTAAAACGAAGATTAAACGCGAGTTTAACGCAGGCAACCAAATGAATGTGTATATAAAGTTGCCTACGTTAAACACTCAATCTGTACTAAAATTAAACTTCAAACTCTCACTCTGACGATTTCTCGACTTCAACAGCAAATTTCCTCACTTTTTATGCGTTTTTGCAAATTACTAAAGCTACCATTACGTTGTAAACTAACTAATCTTGTGTTTTTGCAATGTTTAAACCATTTTCATCCAACTTTACACATTTACGAGCAACATAAAACTTTACCACGACGAAAAACACTATAAACTGAAAATACTAAAGCCTGTGCTTTACAGTTCATAAAAAAATGTAAATCTAGTAATTTTATTGTTTATTTCATCAGGAATCGATGAATGCGCCTTGAATTGTCTAGCAATCGGGGGTGGATTCTACGCAACACTGAACAAAACCGTCGCTGACGGCACAACCTGTCTGAAACCAACGACTTTTACCGGAAAACTAGCACCGACAGGCACTAGAGGTGTGTGCATCGACGGATTATGCAAGGTCAGTGCCATTTCCATTCAACTTTAAACTTTAAAACAATTAGAAACTAAAACATTATGCGCTTTAACCGGAAATATACTCTAAAAGACATTTAATGCAATTAATTTCATGCGTTAACTCACAAGATGATAGCTAATGTTACTACAGGAATCTGCAAAATTGCGCAGAGTGACGAACAGAACAATGCTACCGCCAATGTCATTTCGTAGTTAAATCTACCGACACTAATTGCATGCGACTGAATCTACAGTTGCATTTTTTACTAATTTCCATTTACAGTTTGTTTGAAGCACTTTGCAGATGCAAATGAAGTTATTGTGAAGTTGCGCGAGAGATAATGTCCGATGATATTTCGCGCGTTGAGTGTAAATACAATATTTCTGCATTTTGCATTCGAGGCGAGAGATTCTAACGCCAAAGAGCGCCGCAAGTATCAACGCCGTCAAGCAGCTTATCTGAAATAATAATCGGAGCGAGTTTTGCGCTGCGTTTGTGCGCGTGCTGCTCTTTATAGTTTAGATTCCTTACACTTCTGCCGTTTTCTATTAGATTTCCTTTCGAAATCCGTATCTTCGGCACCTTTGTAGCTACAACCACAACAATAGGTTTAGATTATGCATATATCGAGGTGGTTTTAACAATAACGAGGCGTGAAGAATGTTTAAACATTAAGCACCCAACGTTGAGAGACTAAAAAAGAAGCACAGAAGAATAAATGTCTCGCAAAATGTCAACGCATAAATCTTCTGAGATAGATACGAGCGTTATTTCCGAGTGTGAATGAAAAATGATCTTTGTTTTGTGCATTCACAGCGTAGAAACTTTTAGTCTTACCTTTAATGCAGCTAACCGTCATTCCCGTCACATCAAATTAAACGGCTCACGCTCGTGCGATAGCAATCGTGATTCGCACCACATTCGCACATTATACGCGCACTGAAACTGTTTATTATCGGTGCGTCTCTGGCCGCCCACTTTTGTTTTCTTTGCACTTTTATCGTTCAATCTTCAATTACGTTCACGCGCACTTCACGTATTAATTTTATATGAAGCATAACCACATAATACGCGGTTTTGGCGCGTAGTCTTAGTTCACACATCAAAATTTTTACGCAGATGGCAGCACTGTTCAAACATGTATTACAAGTTGTCTAACGCACAAAATTCAAACTAAAAATGTTTATAAAAGTTAAAACCAATAAAGGTTTTATATTTACGATTAATTATAGGGGAAAGTAGCCATATTTGGACCATTTTTATATTTTTCGATTTATAGAGCCACATATAAACTGTCAATAAAAATTAAGTAGCGGAAAAGTAACTCACAAGGCTTACCAACAAAATGATATTTTTGGTTTAAGTAAAAATTATATTTATACCCCTCAAATTTCAATATAAAAAAATTGTGTTTTTGGTCCAAATTAAGAAACCGGTTTCCTAAATTGGACCGCGCGGTTTCCTAAATTGGACCATGCTTTTTTAACGGCAATTGACACAATAGTAAATTTTAGTTTTAGCAGTAACACAAGCACATTTTGTATGAACCAAAGTGCGGCATTTCATACAGTGGATCATTTCGAAGATTTGTGCTCGTCCACAAGCTTTTCTAGGAGGTCGAAAAAATGATATACTTTTTCCCTGTAAAACTCCGGTGTCTGTCTTCGGTCCAACTTGGGCAACTTGAAGAATTTATATATAATGATCAACAACAATCTTAATATAACATAACCTCTCAAAATTAATACTATAAATTATAGATAAATAAAGAAGCTTTCTGATGATAAAATAATAATCGGTAAAACTATCGTTTTAACGGCTTGACAGCTCTTGCACTTACGTCGTTATAATAGATTTGATAATCAAGAATACACAAAGTTGTTGTCACGACGAAAGCACGCGGCAAGTTTTAACTCAAATAGTTGCATTAATTGTTTATAAATACGAGTAAAACAAGGGGCCAGTCAATTTTTGCATAAACTTCAACAGTCCGCGGATATCGTGGTGGTCCAACTTAGGCGCTGGTCCAAATTATGCTACCTTCCCTATATTACAGTCACGGACAATTGTTTGACTGCAATTTAATTAATTCCTGGAATCAATCCAGATTGAACATTTACAGTTTAAATCCCTTGTTGCAATTTTGATTTAAGCGCTAATTGAATACATAAAATAACAATAAACAAGCCAATATACTTGGCATTCCCATGAATAATTTACAAATCACAAATCACAAAATGTTAATCAAACATAATTAAAACAAAATGCTTGTTGTTTATATTTACGTTTAAAACGCTTAAAATTACAGCTGATAACCTGTCCGTTAATGATTAAACAAATCATTTGCATTTATAGAAACGTTTTACGATATCAACATATCAAAGTATCAATATTGACTATTCGAACAGCAGCGCACAGTTAATTAATTATTCGCGGACGCAATCACAGCGCATTTGAATTATATTATTAATAAGCTACCTGCTCGCTTGTTTACAAGTGTGAATTATGTCAAAGCAATCAAATAATTTGTTTTTAATGCAATAAATAATGCGTTACATTAATTTCGTTGGAATATTCATCGATATTACTATGATAAATGCAAAAGTTTGTTTGTTTTTGTTTGTCAGGTAAAACATTTAACCAATTTTGATAAATTTGAGGTTAGGGATAAATTAGGTTATGTAGAATAATATAGACTACTTTATTTACCAAAATTAAACGTAAAAAGCGTTAAATATGAAGTAAGAGTTGGAATAAACAATAAATCATAGTTAATCATGTTTAAAATTAATAAATAAATATTTGGTAACATACTGTATCTAAATAATAGCGTGTAACATGTCAATAATAAGTTAACAAGTTTATATCGTGCTTGCTCCTTATTTCATACTTCTTATTTCTTGTTTGTTTGCAATTTGCAAATCACTTACAAGTTGAAAAGTTGGAAACTTGCAAACTCTTCAAAATGCCATAAATTGACGTAGATATTTCAATAAATACACGCGTACGGCTACTCCTTCTTGTCGTTTTGTTGCGCGTTTAATAATTATTTTATAAATATGCGCGATGGAGGCCGCAGGTCGATTTTAACGTAAAAATATTGATTTCTAATCGGCGATTATCGTTTACGGTGAGCTTTGAGGCGCAATTTGCATAGAATTATACATTCAGTTTGAGCATTTCAAAGTTAAAATACATATTGAATGACAGTCTATGCTACATGTCAATCATAGCAGTAGCTGCTTATGAATATTATAGATGGTTATAGATATAAGATAATTGGTGTATAGGTGGACTTAATTATTGTTTATTATGGCCATTAAAACATGTACAAAGTGAAACAAATTGATTTTTATTATAAAAATGTGGAAGTAAATCGTATTTGTATGTTTGTTTCTATTTCACGCTTAAACTATAAGTTCAATTTTGATAAAATTTTATACGCAGGTAGATTGAACCTTGGAGAGAATCATTGGATAATTTTTATCCCAAAAATAAAAGTTTAAAATGGGTAAACAAGCAAAAAACATGTAAACAAAGATAATAGTAGTTATAGTTGTAAAATTGGACCATAGATGGCGATACAATATACTTTTTTACATGAAATTCTCAAAAAAGTCTCCCTCGGATGTTCTGTTCTTGTACCGCAACTCAAACATTGATTTTAAACGATAAATATTAAAATAAATGATTTATAAGTAAATACAACCAATATAGACAACTTAGAAAGTGGTAATACTCGTGTTTTCGTTTTCTCCAAATGTCAAAAGAGTCATTAATCAGATTAGGTTTCGTTTTTCTCGTTAGGAAACATTTAATGTCTTGTTGCGGCTCGCATGGATCGTTAAATTGTGTTGTTTTATTTTAATTGCACTTTTCTTGCTTCGGACGACCTCTGCCAGTATCGAATAACAAAATAAAATCAAACATATTATTGCTCCCAGCGAACAACGCAATATTGATAAACTTAACAATATAATTTAATATTAAAAATGTTTTATTATATATTATTCAATAACGAAACAGAATCCAGCGCGCAAATGTGTTATTGATCTAAATAAAGTCTCGGCTAGGTTCGCCAGTTACAAGATCAATTTATCAAGTTACAATTACAATTTTCTGCGGTCGTCATGTCTTCATATCTTTTGCGGCGCACCGCTTTCTTATCAGGTCAACGCAATACTTTGTTTCGTAATCGCCAAGATTGATCTTTTTTCATGTTTCACGTTTTACCTTCGGTGCTTTATGGTTTATTCTTTGATTTATTGCATTAATCAATTATAAATTAATTACAAGGTAAGAATTTTAACAAAAACTTGTAGAATTGGTTGCATAACTTAATATTTTAAACTTTATTCATAATTATTAAACGTATTTAAATAATAATTAATTATAAATTAATTATAATTTAATAATTTTATGGGTTTTGCAAGTTTTTTCAAAAAATAAAATCATTACAAGCAAAATTACAATATAAAACAATAAATTCTCAAAAATTTGTATAACTGGTTGCATAATAATTTGAAACATTAACATTCTCAGCCATATTCACGTTTATTGAATAGATTTAACAAGTAAACAACAAATTATAAGCCAATAAAACGTTATGCGCGTTATTTTACGACTTTGGCAATAAAATAGTAAAATATATTCATAATACTATCCTCATTATCTTAGATTTCCACGATAAATCGATTTAAAGTGTTTTATTGTCTAATTATCTCAGCGCGATTGGCGCTGGAATGAGAAATCGATGCAAATGCGCGCTCCAATCGGCTTACATCTAATTACATCTAATCCTATTTGCACTCTTCCACTGATAAACATAGCTGCAAGTTGGTGTGCATGGGTACAGTTGGAACAGTTAAAACTGTTAGATATTATAAGTGCGGAAAATGGCTAAAATACAACAGTTAAAGCACATAAACAACGTTTAACTTTAACGCACGAACGCGTTAAAGTATTAACAGTTTAAGCTTATACAGTTTAACTCAGGCGCATAT